TTCAGGGCAGACAATCGCGCCCCTATCACCAGCGCACTAAGGATGGCGCACCAGCCATTGGAAGACGCCGAGGAATCTGCCTGTCGACTATTCAAGGTTGAACCGCCAGCCACCGTCTCTAAGCCCATGTCGGATCCGAACATTCGTCCTGTCCGAAGCACACTAAGCCAAAGAAAGTGATCATTTAGCACAGCTGCTCAGTAAACGACTGGCGATCTTTAGGAGCCCAAATATCGCGCAGCTCAGAGCGCCCCATAAACCAGGCTGACAGCGTCTCTTCTAGGTCTCATTGGGCCTTACCAAGAAACCGGCAGTGCACCTCAGCATCCACCTAGCTGCCATCGTGACCTGGCTACAGCGTCGGATCTCGCCTGCGGCTGACACGAACCACCAATGCCGCCTTCTTTTCGGTGGTCAAGTGATCAAGGAGCTGCTACAACAGAACTTCTCGAAGGATAGCAGACCGTCCAGAGTGCACCTTTTTCGCTATGCTTGGCAAGCCACAATGGATTCTGATGCGGCACTAAATATGTTCAACGAGGCGTTGAAGATGCCGCTCTGCCGGCATTGGCAAGCCATGTCGAAAATGCCTTGCTGAGAAACACCATGGACACGAGGCGGATTGCAGGAGCAGACCACGGGGAACAACGTAGATACAAAAGGCAGCCACTTGAGACCTCTTCATGCTCTCCACCACCGTCAATATTGCCATCCTTCTTTTCAACGTCATCCAGCATTGTCATTAACATCAAGCAACTCGCACCCTGAACTCATCATTCACGTCACGTCGGAGACGAACCCCATTCTCATCCTCTGGGGATAATCAGCCTCATCACCGCCAGGGCGCCGCCACAAAAGCCACCCCAATAACCCGGTGCACCCAAGCCAAGGCCTAACACCATGTGCCTCCCTTCCTTCCGTCGCAAGAAGCAGGCCCCTGCCCCCGTCGAGCAAACCTTCAACGTCTTGAATCGCGACCTTACCCCTGCGGTACTCACCAAGCACAACGCTGTTCATGGTGGGCCGGCGAACACAAACAGCGCAGTCACGGAATGGTCGTACAACAGGACATCCGCCAAGTACACAGGTCCTGCCTACACCAGGCATAGTCCGAAACGCTATCGTTCGGACAATTACGGTTATGGGGGAGGCGGTTCCTATGGCGGCGATGGAGGTGGTGGGGGTTCAGGCGGCGACGGCGGTGGAGGTGGCGGAGGCGGAGGTGGTGATGGTGGTGGTTGTTGAGTCGCGTCGCAAGCTGAGACTCTGTGATCTCTAAAGAAGTCGGCTAAGAAAGCCTCAATCTGTAAAACTCGACCAACCATACATCTGTTAGATATAAAGACCGTTCTGCCAACCTGAGAACTGCGTGACGGTAGACATAGCCCCAGTGACTTTCAGACCATTTCGAAGCATCATTGTCCACCAATCGAAATGAAGTCACTGAGGACTTTCAGTACTCAATATTCGTTTTTGAGGACCGATAGTATCCGCTGATCGATGGGAGTGATGCGATATGCCTTAGGTGTCTGGCCGTGATGAGTCCAAGTCTCTTAGGCGTAGGAGTACACCAGGTTTGATGTAGGTCGACTAAATCCCTGAGAGTCAAACTGCGGAAAGATTGGTATATAAGAACACTTGAGCTCACACTCACCACATGCATGGGCTGGTCTCCGCCTTCCTTCCATCGGAGTCGAACATTGTGCGACCGTCAGCCGCACATTTCCGGTAGACACTTGCTTTTCTTTGCTCGGTCCCGCTTTGCCCTGGGCAGAATGACAGAAAAGGATCTTCCCCCCCAATATTGTCAACTTCATCTTGGGCAGGTTCCCGCCTTCCATACCTGTAATATTGATTTCAGTCAACCATGGACCTCCCGCTACGATAGAGTCGTATTGGCGAATACCCCGATCCGTCAGACGGTGTTCAACGTGGCTTGTTTGCCCAGGTTTGGTGAGAGGGTTATTTGCACGCGAAGGCGAAGTTTCGAATCTCACAGGCATTGCTGGTTGTCTGTGGAAAGTTCATGAAAGTTTGAGTCTACGAGGATTCTAGATCGAGCTCGTACCACTAGCTCACGCTGGCGCCCATGATCAACTCTCCGGCCACTCAACCAGTGCTGACGGTCGATTCAGCTGCTGCAAGCCACCGAAAAAAGCATCTCCAATCGCACTCACGATGCGTTAGATAGCGGTTCGCCTCAGCGGCGCCAGGTCTCAGGGCTGCTCGTGTTGTCTCTGAACAAGGATCATGAGACCAGAACGACAGGAACCTGACTTTGACCTTCGTTTTATTAAGACCGCCTCCTTCGCCCGGGGCCACGCTTGCCCAGCATCCACACCTTCTGACCAAGTCGTAAACACCATAATCGTTGTCATGTCGATCAAAGTCTTCCGGTCGAGTGCAATCATCGCTCTGGCTGTACTCATCGTAATTGCAACTGCTCGGTCGGCCCCCCCAGTCATCACATCTGCATACGAAGAGGTCAGAAAGGTACATGTCGCACCAAGTCATGTTCGCGGAGCGAACAGACGCCAGGCAGTGACCGCGGCCTCCGAGTTCACCATAACAGCTGCTCCAGACGCCACTTGCGGCTTCTCTCAGGCTCTCCAGGGGAATGCCCATCACCTGGGACAATGGGAAATCCTTGTAGCTGGGAGCCGAAATGACATCAAAGCTATTTTTCTGGGGAAGTTGCCACGGCGGCCGCAGATTAACATGTTTGGAGATGGAATCCGCCACTGATACCGGCGGGTCTGTAATGACGTTTGCCAAAGCAACTCGTTTTATCTTCGTTGGTGAGCAAGAACATCCACCATGCCAATCAATGACTAAGTCGACCTACTGACCACGGCCTCGATACCACAGCACGGAGGCTTCGGCACCATACTGCCGCACATATGCCTTCCCTGGCGGGGTCCGAGACTACAAGTGCGCCCCGACGCCTGTGGCAGCAATTCAGAGTGTTGAATACACCTACAGCGATCAGACGGACCGCCAGTTCGAGACACAAACCCTCTCAACGGATCCTGAAAGCACTTCTCGCGACACCACAACCGCATCTCCATCGCAAACCTCTGATCGATCCACGCCCACCTTGACGTCAAGCCCAGACCCGACCACCTCCGCCCCAGCCCCAGAGAAGCGAAACAGCACGCCCGTCGGCGCAATCGTCGGCGGAACAGTGGGCGGCGTCGCCGTCATTGTCCTCCTGGTCCTCGGCGTCTTCCTTGTGCGCCGCCGCTCCTCGTCAGCGACCGACGTTGCGCCGGCATCAGCAGCAGCAGCAGACCACGGCCCCACGTCGCCCATGCAGCAGTACCAGCAGCAGGGCTATCCCAGCCCACCACCCCAGGGCGACGGCTACGCCGGCGCCGAGACCAAGAGCGGATTCGTCTCTCCGGTGCTCTCAGGGTATGCAGCGCCTGTATCGCCTGGGTACGAGGGCCACCAGGGGCTTCAGCAGCAGCAGGACATTAATCAAATGAGCCAGCCATATGCGGCCGCAGGGCCACGCGGTACCCAGCAGTCTGCTGTGTACGAGATGGGGTTGGATGGTGGACATCACAAGGGGCGGTTGCATGAGTTGCACTAGGTCGTCTGGGGAGGGATCGTGGGCCGAGGGTTGTGTGGGGTAAAAGCCATGCCCTGTGGGGTTTGACAACGCACATGAAGGAGATTATCTGCTCTGACTGAAGAATTTTTATCTATGCCTTCAGTTTTGGTCTGAGGGGCGTGATATGCATGTGCGCCTTTTAATACCTCCCTGTCAAGCTCCATCGGTCGTGATTGGATCAAGTAGTTGTTCTGGGGGTAGGTTGACCGGGTTTCTGGGTACGAACTTATAGAAATGGGTTGAACTGACTGATTTCGCAAAAGCTCTCGAGCATTCGTGTAGGCTTAGCCTAAGCAAGCAGGCAGCAATCACGATTCGCGTCTCAACGTTCAAGCTGTATGTTTTGCATCGAGATTGCAATAGACATTCCATTCATATGTCTTGGAACTTTGTGGCCTTTCAGTGGTAGCATCCAGCTTTGGTATTGCTGCGTTTCCGATGCAACATAAAGGTTATCTGCAGAGCCGATGGTCATGAAACGTCTCGCGAAGTCATTGACTGAACCAGTTAAGGCTAACTGGAACCCAGCAAACTTGAGGATCACGTTTAGTACGTGTACCGGAACCTGGGATTGTATTCCCCCATCTCCCGGATTTCCTCTTCCGTTTTGCCTCTTACTTTCTCGTCTTCCTTCCCCTCATCACGCTTCTTGTTGAGGAACTTGAAGTATGCCCAGAATGACATGTATATAACCGATGACATGCAGACGAATGCCATGCTGATGGCGTGACCTTTGATGAAGCGGGGTGAATCAGAAGTAGCATACAGCTGCGAGAAAACACGGTCAGCGAACGATCTCGCCCAAAGTTCCACACAATGGTCCGTATCTCATAGGAGGATCTTACAAACGGAGCTGGTATGCCAGCTGAATTTCCAATCGTGAGCTGTAGCCCAGAGGCAACTGTGCGCTTTCCGTATCGGGGATTATTCGAAGGCAGCCAGGCGAGCGGGATGCCAACAACAACGTAGAGTCCCATGGCGCCGAGGAAGCAGCCGAAATACTTTGCACCTCCGGATGCGTTGCTGACAAGAATAGCATAACCCACAGTACAGACGAGCCCGGAAACGACAGCAAACATGGCTCGTCTCTGCATGCGGTCTGAGAGCCACGCCACAACGAGGTAGGTGATGGCGCCAGTGGCGTAGCAAGGAATTGTAAGAGCCTGAACTTGCTGCCTGTCCCAATCACCAAGACCGCTGATGATCGTAGGCAAGAATGTTGAATACCTGCCGGTCAGGTCAGCTCGGATTGAACAGATTGTGGAGTCCCAATCCTGAACAATACTCACCCGTAAAGGATCACGTCACCACCAAACTGTCCGACACAGAAGAGCCAGATCTTGAGGTCCTTGAAGCCAGCAATGGCATCCTCTTTGTGGAATTCATCCCCGGATTTTGTGTGACCGACTTGCCGCCGCAGGCGCGCATCAATGAGATCCTTTTCTGCGCTCGACAGGTAGTGGGCGGTATCTGGTGTGTCTGCAAGCCACCACCAAATTGTGACGCCCAGGATGACAGTGGGGATGCCCTCAATGATGATGATCCAACGCCAAGCACGCAGACCGGCAACACCATCCATTAGGCCGATGCAATAAGCAAGCAAACCGCCCATTGATCCGGCGATAGCGGCGGAGACGAAGAGGTAGCCGATCCTGAGAGCGTACTCGCGCTTGGTGTAAAACATGGTCAAGTAGATGGTCAGGCCTTCGAGCTGCGTCATCAGCATACGATCCTCAGAGTCGATAGTGTCTTTGTGTATTACCTGGGAACAGACCACCCTCAAGGGCACCCAGGATTACGCGGCATGCTAGCAAGCCAACATAATTTTGAACAATGCCGGTCAAGGTCGCCACTATGCCCCAGCTTACCGTCAAAAAGGCAAGGTACCGACTCGGCGTGAAGTATTTGATGACGAGGTTTGAAGGTGTTTCGGACAAAATGTAAGTAACAAAGAGGACAGAAACAGCAATCTGAAACTGGTTTCCCTCTAGACCCAGGTCTTCCTCCAGACCGTACAACCGAGCATTTCCAATGTTGACACGGTCCAAGAAACTGAGAAGGTATAGAAGCATGACCGGAGGGACAATCCAACGGTCAAGCTTTCTTAGTAATGCTTTTTCTGCCAATTCGTCTAAGGGCAAAGCTTCCCAGTCGGCAGCGGTATTCGAGGCTTCTTCGAGTCCGTTCTTCGTCGACTTAGTCGCCGATATGACAGATCCCTCGTGGCCGACGTCTCGACTTGACCGATCGTGTTTGACGTCCATCTTGGTGTTTGCAGATGAGTCTTGATTTTCTTCGCCTAGCATGTGGTACTGGAGGGGAGATTGTGGGCAGTGTTGTTATGGTTGCACTGGTTCATAGGGACTGGTGGCGCATCTTGAAAAAGACGTCATGCCGATCACATCCTAGATACTCGCGCGGGTAGTGACCAGCGACGAGAGCTACGACGGTGAAATCCCCACGAACTGATCCACTCTTCCGATAAGGAACTGGGTCGGAAGCCGAATGAAACATCCTCTAAACCAATGCATTGAGGAATTGAGGGCCGACCCGGAAGAGCGTCTGCTAGTGAGAATTGGACTTCCAAGCTTGCGTGGGATGCGCAAGAATGGATCCTCTCACAATCGCCATTCCCAGTACACTCGTTTACGTCAGCCGAGAAAGAATGATTGAATCATGATCGTCAAGGCATCATATGATGGCTATGTTCAAGGCCAAATATGTGTGCTCTTTGCGGTCCGACATCAGGCCCGCAGCAGTGTCACGAGTCACGACCGCAAGCCAATAGTCGCATGGTGGTGCCTAGGAAACCCATTTCAAAACTTGATCACACGATCTAATATGCTCGTTCCAGTCTATGAACTTTTACGACTACCCATGCACTGGGTTTCCGAACTTTCAACCAAGAAGAGACTCGGAAGTTTTGTCAAAATACTGGCTCCGGTTAACTACATCAGCTACATACTTAATGTGATAAAACCTACCTCTCTATTTGTCAGGACCCCTGCGGAGCCACCAAGGGCCTGCCAAGCTAAGGGGCTGGCTAGGGGGCTAAGGGCCCGGAGAGAACGTATATATAGGCATCGGAGGGCCCCCCAAGCTGCGGAGGGCCAGAATTCAGATGTATTCCTATCCCATACCTATATTCTATCTATCTGCGGACCCTGCGGAAGACCCCTTCACTCTGCTCTAAACAACGCTCTGACACTATTCCCGCCATCATCATTGGTTATGTTGATATAAGGTAAATTTTTAAATTAGTTACAGCGCCAGGGTGAACCTATGAATACGAAGTCCCAAGGACCCCAACATGGGCTCTCTATGAAATGTCCCAAGGCAGCCAGTTCGAATCATAAAGCACATCTGGGATCAGCAGTCTTCCTATAGTTCTCTACAAAGAGTCATATCCGTGTCAAAGCGTGGGGATGAGCCGAGCAAACAGGTCTTTCGTACGTAATATTTGCAGCTACTAAGGAGGTGTAGGATAAGAAAATTTGGCATTCCGAGCCTCCGTATCTAGGAGAGCCCTTCGTAGCCATAGTGTACGCGCTCTTGTAGTGCCTAGCCTAGCCAGTCACCTGCTCCGTGGTTCGGCAGATTTCTCCTGATAGTTCGGCTCGTCGTTTATGTAGCATGGTGGACTTCGTGTCGTGCCATTGGCGATTGGAAATTATTGAAAGCCATGACGAATGAATGGCCCAGATTTTGGGCAGTATGGAGCCAGGGTAAAGCATCTCTGCGGACTCCATCATCCAGCACGGTGAAAGAAGATGGAAACTCGGCAGTACAGTGCTGTATATCGACAACTGTCAATGCTCCTTAGCTTGAGAGTTGCCTTGGTTAGAGGCCAAGGAATTAATCTAAGATAGCCAGATCCATCGTAGGTGGGACTATGTATGTCAGTGCGTTCAATATCTTCATCAGCGCCGCTGCAGTCAAGCCCGATGCTTTCTTCCTACCAAGGCTCCAGAGAAAGCGAGCTCAGTCAACTCAACTTCCATGCGACAGACTGGCAGTTGCGGTAACATGTGTCAGATAAACAACTCATCAACGAAATTATTCTCCAGTCGGAAGGAGTCAGATAGCCAAGATCAAAGGCAAATCGCTGTCATGACATTCTAAACATCTGTCTACAATACTGGCGTTTGATATTGATCTCCACCTTGAGGTATTCTTCATGGTAGCCAGTGTTATAGAGTGAGGGGGCCAGCGCGTTGTGACGGGCGCTACCGACGGTGTTGAGGAACGACACCTGAGAACTCCGACGCATGCCGCCTTGTCGATTGTATGCTTTCTGGGGCTGTTACCTTGTAAAACAAAAAAGAGAATCTCCTTGCGTTATTTAGTATTTCAGTGATGTGAGGTCTGGCACGTATTCAAAAAGTCAACCAGCTGACCAGGCCAGACCAACATGGTGCGCCATAGATAGAGCGTCAGCCACGACCAGTATCTCTCAATATTGAACAGTAGCCGCGATTATCGCTTAGTTTCAAAATCGTTGCTTAGCATATCCTTGCTTTTTCCTTTCAACTTTCCAGCATGCCGTTGCGTGCTTGGCTGTGCGTCGCCAATGTCTTGAACGTTCAAAGGAAGGGGGGCTGTGACTGGCCTGATTTCCGTACCCCTTAATCATAAGACGGGCCTAGTACCCGGATCCAAGCCATAGCACAGCCTGGGAGACCGCCAGTGAGCCGTTGTATTGAAGACGATCGACAGGCACCAACTTGAGCCGGAGACCAGCAATTTTTTTTTGACGCAGGCTCGAGGTCATGGCGTCACCTTGCTTCTCGTCACCATCCAAGACGCCCTCCTGCCAGCCATCGCCACCAAAAACGGGCGCGTAAGCAATAATCGCGTAAACACCAGTTCGACAACACCATGGCAGTCGTCAGGCCGAAATTCTACGTCACGAGACCTCTCAAATCGACAGAGGCAGCAAGCATGGAGTAGAAGCGCCACAGACAGGGCGTTCGGCCGGTCGACTGCATTGGATTGAGGCCAGATCTGCTGTAATATTCTGCCCTTCAGCACATGTTCGGTCGTTCTTCGGGCGCCGAAGCTCCCAGCGGTCGGCCCTACAGACGGACGACGTGGTAGCCCTGCTAGGACTTGCGCAGTCAAATGGGGCAAAAGATCAGGGGATAGGAAAGCCTAGAGCGCGATCTCGCATTCTGACAGTTCTGACTCCACGATCACAAGTCTGGGGGAGCAAGATGGCGATTCCATCCATCCTCTCAGGTAGGGTACCTACATTAGCGGAGGTTCTTCAGTTGGGGGGGGGGCGCTCAAGCCTTCATTTAGCGTACCGTGAATGCTGTGAAAGCTACGAAGCCCGGGCCATCCGGTACTCATCAAAGCAAATGGCCCTCGCGGTTGTCCCTCGTCTGTGGCGCTTCACGTGATGACAAAAAGGCTCCGACCTACTGGAAGAGGCAATGGCGGAGTGTCCATCGAGATGAAGAGAAGAGGGCGCAATAAACCAGGGCACGAGCAAGCGGAGAATACATTAACTCGCACATGCGCATAGCTCCCCACAGAATCCACTCGGCAGTGCTCCACACACTGAAGACTCGAATTGGTCCAACGGGACGAAGACACTGCTATTCTGTTTAGCCGGAGCAGGCTCAATCGGGTTACTCTCTAGGCTTCGGCTCGCTCCGAGCAATCCTGCGATCCATGGTCGTCGCTGACAGTCGAACCTGACACGCTGACAGCCTGGTAGGAAACAGGGACGTAGACGTGCCGCATGATAGGGCTCGGCACACCGCATCAGGGTGTAAGCAGATCTTTGACGAATCCGTTGGTCGATGTGAGGTACTTTCCCCAGCCCGTCCTATGGGCTATCGGACCGTTCTCCCCCGCGTTCATCAACATGGCGTCTGGTACCGGCAGCAGCGTCATGTCCGGTTGGTGCTGCTCATCGTGTCGCCTGTCTGCTCGTATATTGCAAACAAGCGCGTGAGCTGTAACGACGTATTTCGCGGCCTCACTGCCGTAGGCGTCCCGAGAACTCCTTGATACGAAATGCCACGTCGGCGCTAATGACAGTCAACTATAGCACAGGGACTACTCGGCTTCGTAGAACCTCGGGATTAATGACCTACTAGGCACCTTAACTTGAGGTGTGGTTAACTGAAACTATACTCATATTAACTAGGGTGATGAAAGTGATACTGATTGCTTAGCATGGTACTATAGAGGAAAGAGATTCTTATCTAGCCTTTCTCTCTTTTTATAGGAGTCTTTTCCTCACTACTTATTTAAAGGCTGGTTATCTTAGGTTTGAGAAGGTAATTCAAAAGGTTTTGAGTACCTCAGGGGTTATAAACTTAAGACGAGACAATAAATCGTTTAAAGAACTTAATCAATATTTTCGCTGAAACTAAAAGTATATAGATATAAATACTTGTGGATAATAGAATATAGTTTCTCCCTGAGAGCTTATATACTAAGCAGACTCTGAAAGTAAACTATAAATTTCTTATCTACAGGCTACAGTTTCACAGGTTGCCGGAGAAACCCATTTACTATTAATAGGTTACTCAATAGAACCTTCATCGTATTTCGCGGGGACCTACGTATTTACCCTAAATAGGCTTTTTAGGGCATTACGAAGGCTTGCGATAAACACCCCTCCCCCACCTCCCGCCGCCCCCACTTTAAAGTCGCACCCCCCCCTTCCGATGTGTGGGCAACTTCTCGCCACAGAGTGTGCGAAAGGCAGGGGGTGGCTTCAAGGAAGGCGACTTCGCACAGCGCGCCTCATGGTTATCGCAATGGACCGACGATGCAGATGCCTTCCCAGATCTGTGTATCCTCGGCTGCAGCGAAAACGCTTGTCCTAATACGCAATGGTTAGGCGATCGATAGTTTGGTTCCCGTTGCACATCATCATGCCCAGGGCTCCGTAGAGTCGCCGACGTTTCTAGCTTCCATGACTGAGGCTGGGTCTGGTCGTCACTCAGACCGGGTCATAACATCCCGGCACATGGGGGTCGTCACTTTTTTTGCTTGTCTCACTCCCGGGGGAACATGGGGGCCCCCCTTCGCTCCGTAGAACCATGAGGTGGCTTTCCATCCAGTCGGTCCCCCTCCGAGTGCCCAGACTTTGAATATAAGTTCTGCCTTGGTATCCAAGGGGGGCAATTTGGATCATCGGGCCTTGTGAGACCTGCGGAGACACGAACACCTTGACGTGACTGCACCTTTGACGCCTACGAAGCCTGGCGGACTCCTGTGCCACAGCTGATACTCGCAATATCGCCAACGAATAATCCTCAGCACACCACTTCATTGCCGTGGCCCTCGTGATCAAGCAATCGCCGCAACCGAATCGAACCTCAACAGCCTTGATCAGTCGATGGCTGACTAGGAACACTCGAGAGTGATATCATACCCCAGATCGAGATTTACAACTTCCGTTTCTTCTTGGCATCCTGCCAGATCAGGTATCTCTCACGGCCTCTCTTCGAAGTTTATAACCCTGTGTCTTCTGGCTCGGTGGTACTCTTGGGTTGCACCATCACCATACAGGACAACGTCACGTTGAACCTGCCCTCTGCACAGTTCTGTAGAGTTCGCAATGACGGTCAAGTGGTCAGGCAGCGGGGCGACTACTCCCAGCAATGACAGCCAGATTTTCGACGATGTCGAGAAAGGTCTGAAGCCTACTGCCATCGAGAGCCTCCCGTCACCTGTTTCACCAATACATGAGGGTATTACACCGACTTCCAGTTTTCCCGCCCTGTCGCAGACTCTGCTACCAGCCTGCCATTTCCAAGAGAAGAATCCTGCCCCTGGGCCGCCTGCTGTCAAGGCAACCACAACCGTTCAACCTCGACCAAAGCCCAGTCGCTGGATCCTCTTTCGACTTTGGTTCAGCACCTATCGCAAGTTCTTCACCTTCATCGTGGCCCTCAACCTGACCGGCATCATCTTGGCAATCCTTGGCCGCTTCCCCTACGCCGAGAACCATCTCGGTGCTCTCTTGCTTGGTAATCTTCTTACTGCCGTGTTGATGAGAAACGAACTTTTCCTAAGGTTTCTCTACTTCATCTCTATCTACGGCCTTCGCAGCGTACGTCCATCCGAATGCCAAATCTCAGTCGACAAGCAGATGCTGACGTTCCACGATTTAGTGGGCACCGACCTGCTTCAAGATTGCAGTAACCTCAGCTCTCCAGCACGTTGGTGGGATACACTCTGGTTGTGCGCTTTCCGGCGCTGCGTCAGTCAATGCCCTCCCATTTTTTTTCTTTCATTTCCATGCTGACGAGCTCAATCCAGTTGGCTGGTTTACAAAGTTGCCGACATTGTTGTCCACCGGGCCTCTCAACACGGCGCTGTCATCGCCACAGGCATCATCACCAGTATCCTCGTCATCATCTCCATCCTCAGCGCTTTCCCATGGGTTCGCAAGTGAGTTGCCGTTGCCACACCGCCCTTTGCTTCACACTTTCATTTGCTGACTTGGGCGAAGCAATCATCACAACACCTTTGAAAGGCACCATCGCTTCATCGGATGGCTTGGCCTGGCGGTACGTCTTGCACGTACAGGCACACCGATGCAAAGGCTAACACATCGTAGGCCACGTGGTGCTTTACCATTCTCGGCAACGTCTATGACATCAAGCGCGGAGAGTGGAGGTCGGACGCTCACTCTCTTCTCAGCGCACAGGAGCTGTGGTTTGCTGTTTTCATGACCGTCTTGTAAGCTTCCGGACCCCTGTCCCACATGAATACTGTTGGGCTCTGCTAACACTCTACTACAGCATTGCCATACCTTGGATTACACTACGGGAAGTTCCTGTTGAGGTCGAGATTGTTAGTCGCCTCCGTCGTGCCGGTTGATATGACGCAACGCTGACAGTGTGCCCGGACAGCCGTCACCCAAAGTCGCGATCCTCAAGTTCGAGCGCGGCATGCAGCAAGGTCTGCTCGGCAGGATCAGCCGCACTTCCATCATGGAGTACCACGCATTCGGCATCATCAGCGAGGGCCGCAAATCGGGCTGTCACTACATGATCTGCGGCGTGCAGGGCGACTTTACGAAAGGCCTCGTGGCCGATCCGCCCAAGACTGTGTGGACGAGGGAGCTCAAGTTCGGTATGACCTATCGCTCGAGATTGCTCGCCAGCACGTACTTACACGATGCAGCCGGAGTCGGTCACGCGTCCGCCATGTTCAAGAGGGGTATCCGAATCTGCACGGGGACCGGCATCGGCGCCGCGCTGTCGACTTGCATCCAAAGCCCCAACTGGTGCGCCATTCACATGCATAATTTCAGGTTGTATTTACTGATGCTGTTCAGGTTCTTCATCTGGATCGGGTCGGACCAGGAAAAGACATTCGGGCCTACGATCAGTGGCCTCATCCACAAGCACATTGAGCCTGATCGCATGATCCTGTGGGACTCCAAACAGCGGGGCGGCCGGCCGGATACCTTGCAGCTCCTGCAAGACGTCTACAAGAGCTTCGGCGCTGAGGTCATCTTCATCACGTCCAACAAGCAGGGCAACGACGAGATGATGCAGGGTTGTCTTGCTAGTGAGTTGGCCTCTTCCGCATGCAGTCGGTATTCCGCTAACCTTGGTGACAGCTGGCATGAACGCATTTGGAACGCTGTGGGACTTTTGAGTAGGTTGGACAAGAGATGACGCAGGTCGTGACGGCGCTGGAGAGAATTTGGGTTCGGGGGGTATCATGACACTTAGCGAGATGGGTAGATTTCTCCTTCATGTCTGTTGAGCGGGCACTGGTAGAAGTTCGACATGAACACATCATAGCGGGCATTTGATTTGGTGGGAAATAGAAATGATCTTATGAATAGTGTCTATCTTGCACGAGTCTCACTGCAGACTTGCTGTTGTTTGAGGTAGGCATGCGCCCATCTTGTTCGGAGTAGGACAGCTCTCATTCACTTTGGATGCAATATCATGTAAGCACCGAAAATGAGGTTGATAATGGTTCTATGCAGCGTGACGGCGCCGTAGACCTGATCGCCTGTGTTATCCTAACATGATGACATTGATGAAGTATATGTTCTACTGGATGTGCAGGTGGTAGCTGTGCGCTCCGCATCCTATCGAACATCATAGCTGGAGATCCCAGGACTACGATTTTTCATACAACTGTCTGCTTGACGCCTCTCAGCCGATGGTCACATGATATGGGTTCTCGCCATGGGTAAGGCTGATATTCAGCTAAGAGCAAGAGATGGCACGATCAGGTTGCAAATGTGCCGTATCCAGTCATGGCCGACTTCCGGTCCGCGAACCGCCGGATGTTTGCCAAACCTATTCTGAGACGCCCCTTATCATTACATATTCACATCTGAATCAACGGTACAGGATGCTCAAGACCTTTCGTTCACCAAGCCGGATAGCTTCATTATTCTGTTACCCAGATGGCAGTTTTGGCTGCAAATCGATAGCTTGAAGCATTGCCCGGCACAACCACCGAGTGACTAAATACCAGCATCGTTGACTCTCTCTTTGGTAAATGATGCCTAGCACGCAAAGCCGGAAGCCATCCTTTTTGTACTCTTGAACCTGTGTGTTCAAGAGGTCGGAAATCCCGCCAGGACGCTCGGGGGTCTGCAGGTACGCCTAGTTAATAGCGAGGTCCGGGGAGGCGTTGGCGTAGCCTGCCCATAGGATTCAAAGTATCATCACTCTGGCCTCTCGCCTGGACCCATTCGTCTTACCCCTTTATTCAATCATTTTATTTACCCTAGTCTCAAAAACAGGCAGCCATGCTTCTTGAAGAGCGCAAGAGCGCAACGTCAGCGCCTGTTCCAGCTCTTCGTCTCAAGACATGCCATCGACTAGTGAGAGCGTAAGTAATGGGTGAGCATTCAATCAGATGCATGATGAGAAGTCGTCACCCTCTAACGCCTATACAAGACCGCGTGGTCTCAAAGTCGATAACGCGGATATACTCGTCAGGGTATCTCGGCATGATCTTTCGCAAGACTCGATGTGCTTGATGCGCGGCCTACACTCCAAGTTGGGACAACTGACCGATAACGTCTCAGCCACAGCTTCCAGCGCAATACAGTGGGCGACTTAACGCCAAGACTACTGACGACAACGGCATGTCTGAGATGGTAGTTCCCGCGTGTGTACGAGAGGGATTCAGAGAGCTGCGGAGTAGCGGTGAGAAGATGGCCTTGACGGCATTCCTTTCACACAGAAGACCGATTTGAGGCCTTCGACGGAATTCACTCAGATGGTGTGATCATTCCTTATCACATCGGGCTTTGGCGCCCAGACAGCCAGATGAAATTGCATTGCAAGGTCGTATGGTCCAACGGCAGAGATGAGGCAGAAGATAAGGGTCGCATAGCCAGTGGCAACAGGACAGTATTGCTTCTAGTGATTGTGGTTGGAGACGAATCATTGTTGATGCCGTTCCAGCGACGCAATGGAATGGCTGTTATCGCTGTGAAGTTCGGCGTTCGTTGGGGGCTTGAATCTTCTAGGTTATGAGCAGACTGGATGCGATGAGCAGTGACATTTTGATGCGAACATGACTGTAACTCGATGTATTCGTGCTGATCCTGGCCAGTGGCTTTGGGCCGATCACATTTGATCATTTCCTCGCACAGAAGAGACCACGTCACCACCTTGACAGAGCCCTCGTGTGAATCAAGCAAATAATGGCTGGGTAAAACGTGCATTCTAAGCCGGTTAAGAATCTGCCAACTACGCCCCGGCATCGATGTCGCGGAATGACAATCACGGCACTGAGTCATCCCGCGACGGCCTTGGAGACTATCGCCGGGCAGCTAAGTGCCGAGTCAAGGAAAAGAAGCGGGGGCCCTCCCGACGCGATACCATGTTTGGGGGACCAGATTGAGACTCAGGGCTAATTGGCCCGTGCCCCGCTTCGGGGTCCCGGAAGTAATAGGCTCCGGAGGCGTCTCCCGAGCCCGTTATTTGCTCGTTGCCCTCGCCAATCGAAATCAAGTCTCAGGGTACGAACTCTTGTCTCGAAAAGCATCGGTGTCACTACGGTATGAATCATTTTGTTGCAGAACAGACAGGGTCGATTATAAAATTGGTTGCTAAACTTGTCTTTCAGTCACGCTGCCTGCCACACATTGCCTATTAAGTGAGGCCTCGCCGTACGTGACGACAGGGACCATGGTGGCCACCAGCACGAGATATGGGCGGCGATGCCCAGACGTTTCGGTTACGGACAGTCGAACGGGGTAAACCAAAGTGTTTCCGGCGGAATCCGCGGAGTCAGTTGTGCATGACCCCGTTTGCTTGGCCGCCTCAGAACCCAACCGTCAATGTGGGAAAAGTGGGTGGCGGCCGGCAATACGGAGAAGGGGCGTCCTTCGACGAACGGCCGCTGTATTGATCAGCCCGGAGGAGGAAAATGGCGCACGCCTGGGCAGCTGAGTCGATTAGCGTCGGGAGGGGGGTGGGCAAGTGAGGCGATGCCGGAGCGTGACTCTGTTTTCGGCGCCACTTGAACTGATGGGCAAGGTGCCACTGACCATTTCCACTCTGTTGAGCCGGAGGGGAGAGGCGCGCTCAGTTTGCGTGTCGCCGTGGTGGCACCCACACCGGCAACATGTGGACAGCCGCCCTGGGGCAGCAGGCGCCAGTCATTGGCTGGTCCTACATGCACCTGCGCGGCATGGGTATGGAAAGCAACGGGTGGCGGGCGACGGTGTTTGAGCCCGAGGGGACCACGATCGGCCTGAGGCTCGCTCAGGGGGCGTTCCAGGAGGGGAAGGCAACAGAGGGAGAATGGTGAGGGGGGTCTCAAGGAAAATCCAACGCCCTTTGACCATCGACTGCTTTTGCGTGGGCGCGGTCGAGGCCGATGCAGGACGAAATGAAATGGCGTTCTTTCCAGTGCACTCGTAATGGATATTTGAACAGAAAGCACCCGGTCCCTCCTAAAATCTACTCCGTTGACCGGGCCTAACTTACTCCACTGATGATCGTTCGCGGCGAAGACCGAGGCAAAGGTCGGCGGGCCGTGCAGACCCAACAGAGCTTCCACACGGCGAGGATAACGCAGGTCCCGGTCGCATGG